TGGGTCTTCAAGAAAAGGTGAATGGCCCCTTGCTGAAGGTCTTGTGACTTCACAGTCCTTCCTTGAGCTCTACATTCCAGCCAAATGGGCCACTTGCTGTTCACAGAACATGGCAACCTAATTTTCTATGTTAAGTGCCTTGCCCAGATTATCCCCCATGTCAGGAATAAACTCCCTTCCCATCTTTGAACAGTAGAAATCTTTGCTTCCTTCAAGGCTCATCTCAGATATTATCTCCTCTGGAAAGACTTTGCTGTGTCCCCCTAATTATTCATACTTCCCTCCCTGTTCAAATTATATTTACTTATCAGTTTACATATTGCATAGGTAAGTTTAGGAATATAAGTTTCTAGAGGTCAGTGATGATTTTTAAAAATTTTTATCATTTTATTCCCAGTGCCTAGCAGAGTACTCTGCACTTAGTAGGCATTTAATGAATGTAAATGTAAATTAATTGAAACAACTTATGTTTAGGGAGGGGTAGGGCTAGACAACCTCCTAGTACCCTTCTCATCTGAGATGCTTTTGATTCTATGAACATCAGGTGCCAGTGTTGGGAAGGCAAGATTTAAAATGCTATGACTAGATTTGAAATTCTAACCCTCCTCTGGATGTCACCATATAAACTCTTTGCGAGTCTAATGTTCTTCTAATCATGTCTCCATAAATGAAATTATGTCTTAAAAATCCCCAGATCCCAAAATTGCCACATCATACCACCCTTGCTTGGTTGAAATACTAAAGGATGGCAAAAATGGAAATTATTCAATCTAGAAATCCCATCTGGATTGCGATTAAATCATTTGGGCTCTGTTAAATGGTTTTGTGCCTTAATACAATAAGGAAGTTCTGTAAAAATCACCCCTCCTCATGACCTCCTGCTTCTACCCCCTACTCAAGCAACAGCTGAATCTAATGAGATTTTTTTTCCTCTCTCCATTGGTAATTTTTTTTTGAATTGTTATGCTAAGTGAGTTTAGAGAGTAATGTGGCACTGTGGACTAGCCAAGCTATCTAGACCCTATAAAATGGAATCACTTGGAGTACATGTTAAATGGGGCCACTTGGTAGTGCACAAACCTTGCTTCTCCATGGACCCAAGTTCAAATACATCTTTACAAGTGAAAATAAATCTGGGAGTCTCCACATAGCAGTAGATCTCACTCATATCTTTCAAGTGAAATGTCCAGCAAGCCATAATCCCTGATGGCCATGATTGGAGCCAGTGACTGCCTGGAGGACCAGAAGCAGTGAGCTCCAGCTTGCTGGCATCATGCCAGGACAGATAATTACATTCTGCCTATAGCCCAATTCTCCTTGTACTTTCAATTATACCCATTAGTTTTCACTTCCCCTTTAAAAGAAAAGTCTCTGGGGTACTGATGTTGTACCAAAGGATGCTGTTGTTGGTTCAGGTGATGTTAAAGGAAATTTTATCTCTGGGTCTGCATTTTTCATAATGTCTTCTTTGGATTAATGAACAATGCTATAAAAGAAATCTGACAAGATTGTGCCCTTTCCCTGACAAATGACACAGGTGATCTCCCAAGTACACAGATTACAGAACGTTAGAACTGGAAGGTATCTTAGAACATAATGTTAGAGCTGGACAGGCCCTTGGAATATAGCATTTTAGGACAAATAGGATACTTATAACATAGACCATTAGAATGAGAAGGGACCTTAAAACAGAGAATGGGGCAGCTAGATGGTGCAATGGATAGAGCTCCAGCCTTGAAGTCAGGAGGACCTGAGTTCAAATCCAGTCTCAGACACATGACACTTACTAGCTGTGTGACCCTGGGCAAGTCACTTAACCCCAATTGCCTCACCAAAAAGCAAAAACAAAAAACAAAAACAAAACAGAGAACATAGGATGTTCAATCTGGAGAGGTCTTAGAACACAGTATATTAGAGCAGAAAAGATAATCATAAAGTAGAATGTCAGAATCAGAAGGGACTTTAGAACAGAGGACAGAGAATATCACAGTTGGAGAGAACCTTAGAACACAGTGCTAGAGCTGAAACGAACTTAAAACACTGAAAGTGAACAGGGCCTGGGACCTTCCCACACAGAATGTTGAAGAACACAAAAAACAAAACGTTAGCATTGGAAGGGAATGTTAGCATCAGTTTTCATTTAGATTCAGGTAGGTGGTACATTGGGTAGAGAGAGCACTTGAGCCAGGACTGAAACACTAGCCCTCTGACCCTGAGCAAGGCCCTTAACCTCTGTTTGCCTCAGTTTCCTCTTCAGTAAAATAGGGATAACAATGGGTTGTTATGAGGATCAAATGAGATAATTATTGTAAAGCATTTAGCACAGTGCCTGGCACATAGTAAGTGCTATATAAATGTTAGTTGTTGTTGTTGTTGTTATTATTATTATTATCATAGAACATTGCCTTCATACAAATCAACCAGGCAACTAGAAATAATATCTCACATAATAGCACTTAACTGTTTACAATGGGTTTTCTTCACAATCACCCTGTAAGGTATATTGTGTTATCCTCCCTGTCTTAAAAATGAGGAAATGGAAGCCTACTCAGATTGAACAAGTTATCCAGAGCCAGGGTCTTAAGCCAGGTCTTTCAAACCCAAGTTGACTTCACTTTCTACACCATCCTCATGCTGTTGAATCCCTTTTCCTGCTGATTACATGGATACTTTCCCAAATACACAGAACACAAGACTTTTGACCTGAAAGAGACAGTGTTCATCTAGGGTACCCTCTCAACTATGGGAGAAGGGAGGAACCAGACCATGACATTATTAGTGTTGAGAACTCCCATTGAAGAAGCCCTTTCTTACAGAATAGACAGGTAAATGTTGTTCCATATTTAGTCTTAGAGAGTAGCTGAGAAGTTAAATGGCTCACCCAAAGGCAAATAGCCACTATGTGTACCAGAATCAAGACTTGAGCCCAGTCCTTCCTGGCTCTGTGGCCACCATGGTGTCTTTCTGCCTCTTCTTTCACTCACAACCACCATCATTTTACAGCTGGGTTCCAGAGAGCTTAGGCCACATAGCTAGCAAGTGTTGGAGCCAGGATCTCAAGCCAGAGCTCCTACCACCAGGTCCAACTCTCTGTTCCCTACAACACATGGCTTTCATGAAAAGGTCCCAGGCTTTGCTGCAAACCCTGGAAATGATCTCTGTGACCATATGGGCAAACAGGCGCTATTAATGTTTTGTTCATTTGCTCCGTCTGGCCCAGCCATGTTTAATGTGTGACCTTATTAACACGACTCTATTCAGGAAAAAGTGCAAATTGCTTACTCAGAAAGCCTGGTAAATGTTCTCCTTTCTGCTGCCAGTGATCTAACTCTGAATATAATTGGTGTTGGGTCAAGCTTCATCATCGAAATTAGTGCCAGCAGAGTGCTTGGGGGCTACCTAGTATAACTATGGATACAAATGGGGAACAGGTGCAGTCAATTCCTCCTCTCCTGTGATCATTATTTCATATCAATTAATGAGCTGGAAGAGGCTTCAAACACTGTCCCTAATAGGGTCTTGAGAGTTAATGTTGCCTTCATTTCCACAGTCCCAGTTAAATTCCATAGTAGGATTGTATAGCCAAACAAAATACACCTATGTATGTATGTAGGTCCATGACTGAACTATGGCAAAACCAGGTAAATAATAATAATAATAATATAATACAATTCTACATGGATAGAAGGATTATATTTGGAAGACCTGGGTTCAAATTTTATCTCTGACAATAAATAGCCATGTGATGCTCCAGGCTTATAAAAAGGAGATGATACCAGGGCTGCTGAGAGTCAAGTAATAAAATGTAGATAAAGTGCCTTGTAAACCACTATACACATGTCAAGTATTATTATCTGAAAAAAAAGTATTTTCCTCATAGAAATGTGTGTTCAATAGTACAAATATCATTATTCCCATTCTACAGATGAAGACAACAAGGCACAGGGTAATTTAGCAACTTGGGGTAACCAAGTCTGGAACACAAATCTACTGACTCAAAGTTCACGATTATTTTCCATGTACCATAGTCAAAATAACCCACTTCTCTTCAGTAGCTGACTAGTACCAGATGAGAACTTGAGATTCACATGAATTAGTTGGCACAGTCAGTTACTTAGGTTTTTGTTTTTACATGGGGTAAAAAATTTTAAAAACCATTGAGTTCTACTTCCTTTGTCCTAGCTGGTGGAGCTCTCAGAATGGAGGTTTCTAGGTTGATTTTCAATGCTTCGTATCCTCTTTCTTGGTTGCTTTTTTGGAAGAACAGTCACTACAGCCAGAAATGTATATCCCAGATCTGAAAAACAGAGAGATATCATGGTAGAATGGAAAGCCTCAGAATCAAGAGTCCTGGTTGTGGGACCCAGCTGGGCCACAAACCAGTTGTGCAACTTTGAACAACTTATTTCTCTCCTATGAGCTTCTTCTTCCTCAACTGTAAAATGAGGTGTGAGGGGAGATAATTATATTGGTGCTTGTGTTCTACTGGGGGTGGGACAGGACCAACCTAGGGTGTGCAAACAAGTAAACAGATAAGAAGATGAAAGATCTCTTCAGGAATTAGAAAGCAAAAGCGACCAGGACAGGGATTCTTAACCTTGGACCCTCTTCCAAAGTCTGGTGAAATCAAAGCAATGCTTCTCAAAATAATTTCCTTGAAGGGAAAGAATAGAATAACATAGGGTTACAAAGGCAATCAAAATAGTTGAAACAAAAAACAAAAACCCAGGGTCACAGATCCCAGTTTAAGTGCCCCTGAACTAGGAGGCTGTAGATAGGCTTCCTGTAAGAAGTGGCACATAGAAAAGACTTTGAGAGATTTTCAGAGGCAGAGAGGAGGAGAGAACACATTTCAGGCCCAGGAGGAAGCCTGGCTGTAATGGATTGAAGGAGGCAGATAGAATGCCAAGAAAAATCAGAGAACGGCAAACATCATTTCTATCATCTCAAGGTTATGGACTTTTTTTAAACACCATCCCATTTTAATATCTTTCCTTTAGCAGGTCAGCACAGAACTGTATCTGAGAATTGCTCCAGCTATGTAAGTCTACTCAATTCTCTACTTCTACCTTTTTTTAAAAAGTATAATGTTTTTAGAAAATCCATGAGGTTTTTGAGACAGAGAAACATTTTCCTAGATGGAAATTAGTTTTCTCACAATAACCCTGGAAGATATCATTATCCCTATTACAAATCTAAGAACACTGAGGCCTATAGAAGTTAATTTGCTCAAGGTCAAATAAGTGGTTTGATGCCTGAGCCTCCAACTATAAAACCAATCCTCCTTCCATTATACTCTGTGTGTATGTGTGTGTGTGTGTGTGTGTGTGTGTGTGTGTGTGTGTGTGTGTGTGTACCTCTTTTACCCTGAGTTTTCATTGATCCACAACTGGAAAGGACTTCAGAAGTCATCTAGTCCAATCTCCAAGGTCACACACTTAGAAAGTCAGAGGTGGGATTTGAACTCAGGATCTCTGACTCTAGAGTCAACCCTCCTTACCCTACACAGACGGATAAACTACAAGTCAGTAAAGTGAGTTCATTCACTTGTGAGGCCTTCTGACATTGAGCCCAGTGCTTTTATTATGTTTCGAGTAAGTCATTAATGTATTGTAGTAGCCAGTCCTTACTATTTCTGGAGTACTGAGCCCCCTCATAAACTAAGGGTAGGCTTTCTGCCTCGGTAGCCATGGAAAATGGGTTAATGTTGGGAAACTGATGGGAACTCCAGGAGCTCCACAGTGGGTTGCCAGGGAGTGAATTTGAGAACATAGGTACGATCTGAGTCCTTCTCTCTGTCCAATTACCAATGCTCCGTATTTAGTTTCAGCTGAGCCTTACAAAAATAAACTTTCTAAATTATAGCCCATTAGTGCGGCCTTGGATCATTTATCCTCTGTTGCTCTAGGATAGGCTTGGAAACCAACCCTTGACTTTGGGCAGGCTCTGAGATCTCTTTTTGCTTCCCGAGTTGATTCTGAAGCTATTGTCTTCACCAATGTTATGCCTTCTTTCATCTCACTTGTCTGGCTGCTCCCTTCTGCTTAGGACATGAACATTGCCAAAGTAGCTGATGGAGCAAAAGGCAGTGGAGGGAAAGACTATGAAGATCCCGAGACATTCCCCATGAGAGGATTTCAGTCGGTGAAAATCTTACCTGCCAGACCTATAGAGGAGTCACAATATGCAGGTAACTTTGGGCATAGTTTGGAAATTGAAGATGCTGAAATACTTTGGGAGTCAGAGGGTAATAACAATAATTGACAGTCTCATTGTGTCTGAACAGAACATTCTGGCTGCTTTTTCCATGAAGGCTTCCCTGATTTCCACAGCTGCAAATAAATAATCTCTCCATGCTCAAGTTTTGCCAAAATACATTGTCATAGGCTTTCCTTTGACCAGTCACATTCTCCTTTGCATTGTTTTTATTTATGCACGCGTCATCTAGACCAGAGGTGATGATGTGGCGTAGTGGACAGGAAGCTGGCTTTGCAGATTCAAATTCCACCTCTGACCTATACCACTTGTTTCTCTTGTTCAGTTGTTTCCCCATTTGGAGTTTTTCCTGGCAAAGATACTGGACTGGTTTGCCATGTCCTCCTCCAGCTCATTTTACATATAAGGAAACTGAGGCAAACAGGGTTAAGTGACTTGCCCAGAGTCACACAGCAAGTATGTCTGTCTGAGGCCAGAGTTGAAGTCACATCTTTCTGACTTCCAGATCTGGCACTGTATTCACTGCACCACCTAGCTACCCCGACTTTTCAGTGCTCTAGGGAATTCTCTAGGACTGTAAGATATAGAGAAGGTACTGACTTTCTCTGGTCCATAATGAATATGAAGGAGGTTGAGGAAGTTTCTTAAACCAATGAAATCACAGGTCTGGTGCCTAAACCTATTCATGATGATGATTATTAAAAAACATCTCTATGAGAATAACTTTTTGTTTTTCTGTTTCAAGGTTCAAAGACTAAAGCATGTACAAAATAAAGTCATCATACAAATTGTTAGTATCAAATACAGGGTGTCCCAAAAGTCTTAGTGCAGTTTTAAAATTTAAGTTTCTTGAAACTTCTCTAAGACTTTTAGAATCCCCTTGTATTAACAACAATGATTTCTGTATGATAAGTGGCATAGTATATCACCAGGAACATGTGGAACTGTAAAAGGGGATGAGCCAAACCCACAAGAGAAAGGGATGTGGGATTTACTGAAGACATAAGCAAGGATTGCACAGGATGATAAGGCTAGGATGGATTGTGATCTTTACTGCCTAGAGAATAACCATGCCCATGAGATCATGAAAGCATTGAAGTATATGTAACCTGAGTTTACAGAAATCAACTAAACTAAATTCTTCATTGCAACAATTTAAGAACAGTGTCTTCTACCTAACAACTTGTAATGACTCACTTAAAGTGAACACATCTCTTCACAGCCTTCAGAAGATTTCCCGCTGTCTTTTTGGGACAGACTTTTATTAGCTCAGCAGACACTTAAGGACCACAGTACTTTAAAGATCAGGGATTTTGTTTCATTCAAGTCAATGGACGTTTGTTAAACTATCTATTATGGTCAAGATACTGTACCAAGCCCCCAGGCCCTAGGAATTAGGCAAAGATAAAATCTGATGTAGTCCCTGTCTTGAGCTGCTGAGAATCTGGTATCAAAATGAGACATGGACATAGTTAACTAGAATATAAATTAAGGGGGGAGTACAAAGGAGGGTTCCAACCAAAGGGCTGTGAGTAATGTGAGGAGGGAGGGAGTTGCGCTTGAACTGGGGGATCAGGGATGACTTCACAGAAGAGGTCCACCTGAATTGGACCTTGAAGAAAGGGAAGGATTCCAAAAGGCAAAGATAGATTAGACAGAAGTGCATTACAATCACAGGACTAACATAAGCATGAAGACAGGGAAAAAATGGATGAGACAAAGAAGGAGGAGGAGTATAAGATAAGGTTCAAAAGGTAGGTTGATCCCAGAGGGTAGATGGCCCTGAATGTCAGACTGTTGGTGATGGGGAGCTATTGAAGGTATTGGCATCTGAAAATTTTCCATCTCTAACTACGAGGTCAGCTCAGGTCCTACTGCTTCTAGGACACATAGATATGATCTTTTCTCTTTTCCATGGCACAAATCAATTCATTTCAACAAATATTTATTAAGCACTATATGAAAATTAAAAAATGGCACAGCCCCTGCTCTTAAACTCCTTATAATTTACTATTGGGATATAGGAATGGGATTGAATCAGACCTATAGTTTAATCGCTGCAAGGTATTTCGAGTAAAGAACTCCCTCTATCAAAACAGCTTTCTTTGCAACTTACAGTCTTAGAGAGTAGTTTGGGGAAACTGAGAATTTAAGTAATTTCCCCAGGGTCAAGAAGCCCATGTGTCAGAGACAGGATTTGAAACCAGGGCTTTATGTCCTGAAAGCCTGTGTCCTATCCACTACAGTAGGCAAGGTAGAATGTCATGGGGACAAAGAAGGGTTATCAACAAAGTGTTTCAGGAAAATTTGAGAAGGGACAGATCATCTGACCTGGAGTATGCTTCATGAACAAAACAGTCCCTGAGCTGAGCCTTGAGGGAAAGAAATGATTGCAGTTAGCCAGACTTCCTCTTCAACTGGTTGCACTTGAGTCAGAGACAATGGAATGGGCTACCCATGGACAGACCAGCCAACCAACCAAAGCGAACAGAGGGTTGAAGGTGTATCATTTAGAGGGGAGCTCTAGAGATCCCCTGGGCTTAGTTCCAGCTGTCACACTATCTCCCAAGTGAAAGGACTCTGAGACAGGCCTAATTCCCAATTAGGGGTAGCCAAAGCCTCCCAGCAGCCCCAGGGGCATTCTCTTATTTCTCTGGGTTCATTTGTCTTCACCCCAGAGTCATCAAAAACAATTGACAGCAGAACTGTATGTGGGGTCTTCAAAACAAAAGTGGTGTTTGTCAAAAACCCAGAGTAGAACTGACCCCTTTTAAAATGGAATTCCCACTGCTTTCAAACAAAGCTATCTAGGCAAGGCTGAGAGATTTGCTAAGCATTGCTCTCAGAACTTATTTGCTAGATTTGGTTGGAAAATTCAAGACAGCACTTTTCTAGCTATTATGCCCCATTAAATCTTATTTTCCTGCTTACCAGTGGAAATTATTTTTGCTCCAATCGAGATGACAATGTAAGCAGCCTCTGGTGATTTTAAAACTTTCTCTACTCTACACAATTTCTTGCAGAAAGCACCTCGAGTCTAAACAAATTCTTCCCCATCTGATCTCATAGCACTTTATACTTCTATTAGGATCTTGTGTTCGAATTTATATTCTATTTATCTGTGGAGGTGGCTTATCTCTCCCACCCAGAGGATCAGTTTCTTGAAGGCAGAGATTGTCTCATTTATCTTTTTACATCTCCTCCCCACTCCCTTCCATTTTAGCACAGTGCTCTGCACATGGGATCATAGAATGTTAGATCTAAAAAGGTGAGGTTGCACTGGAATAGAAATGCTGGTCCCCTGACTAAATCCAGCAGGTTTTCCATGATACCCAAATGCCTCCCTTGTGCTGCTGATTGAAACAATATGCCCACATAGAGGCCAGATTTAGACAACACAGGTACACAGCACCTGTTGTGGTTACTGAGATAATGACCCTCTGAAAAATATCCACAAGGGGCTTGGAATTCTTTGAATATGGGAAATATGGAACTGCTGCCTCTACCCACCTGCTCATTAATCTGTAGCCCCAGAGCCACTCTCTGATATCTGACACATTAATGGCCATCATGCCTTTCTCCTGAAGGGTTCTAATCACTTCAGAGAGATTAGCGCTGTCAGCCATAAATTTCCCAAGGGAAGGACAAGTACCAGTTTTAGTGTCTTTCATATTACAAGTAAGTAGACTGAGGCAGGATCTGTGGCTCCCTCCAAATCATCCAGTTTATATAAAGTCTGGCTTTAGAGCCAGAAGGGATCTTACAGCTCATGGAGGAGTCAGTCAACAGTCAATAAGCATTTAAGAAAGACTTGGGTTGAATCAGGCACTGTACTAAGTGCTAGGGATACAAAGAAAAAGTCAAAGGCTCCAGCCTTTAGGGAGCTTGCATTCTAATGGGGGACATAAAATTCACATGCATAGGTATATACAAGAGTAACTTCAGAATGTAAGACTTTAACGGCCGCAGGGGACAGGAAAATCCTCTTGGAGAAGGTGATATTTGAGTTGAGTCTTCAACAAGGAAGAAGAGAGAGCATTCCAGGAACGAAGAACCTTCAGTGTAAAGACACAGAGACAGGAGAATTTCTTAACCTCTAGCCCTATCCTCTTACAGATAAGGAAACCAAGGCACAGAGAAATGAAGTGACTTACCTATGAACACACAGCTAGTTATAGGCAGAACTAGGGCCAGAACCTGGATATCTCTACTCTCTACTAAGTGTGCTGTGTACTTTAGCACAAAATTGAAATAAATTACATTAATATGGCTTCTCAGTTGACAAAGAACTTTTCACATACATTTGAATTTCATAACTGATGTTGCTGTCTTTCAGTCATGTCTGACTCTTTATGACTCCATTTGGGGTTTTCTTGGTAAAGATACTAGAATGGTTTACCATTTCCTTCTCCAGCTCATTTTACATATGAGTAAACTGAGGCAAATAGGATTAAGTGATTTGCCCAGGATCACACGGCAAGTATCTGTCTGAGGCTGGATTCAAACTCAGGTCTTCCCTGACTCCAGGCTCTATCCACTGTACCACCTAGCTGCCCCTGAACCTATTCATGGAGTGAGGGAAATAGCAAAGTATGATATCCCCATATTAGGCAGCTAGAAAGCACCATGGAGAGAGCACTGGACCTATAATAGTCAAAAAGACTTGAATTCAAATCTGGCCTTAGATGTGTATGACCCTGGACAAGTCAGTTAAATCTCTGTTGGCCTCAGTTTCTTCAGTTCTAAAATGGGGATCATAATAGCACCTTACCTGGCAGGATTGTTTTGAGAATCAAGTGAGATAATATTTGTAAAGCACCTAGCACAGTTCCTGGCACATTTAGTAGGTACTTAACTTATGCTTGTTCCTTTTCCCTTCCCTCCTGATTACTTATGAGAAGAGGACATCAGCTTGTCATGTAGAGAGGGCCAGAGATGACAACCAGAGAGCCTGTGCAAGCATATCCACTGATATGCTTGGGATGTTAGGAGAAAGCAAAAAGACCCCAGCCAATTGGGTGGACCCCCATGGTAAACATGGAAGGCTATAGACAGGAGGCCCACAGAACGGGCTGGCATGGATGAGTTGTGACCTCCAGCAAAGGAGGGAACTCACAAATCAACAAACTCCTAGATCCATTCTTGCATTTTGCTAAGAACAGGTAATGACCTACTGAGGGCCATGCCAGATCTGTACTCGAGCTAGATGTTAGGTCTTCTGTCTCTGTTTTCGTTGCTCAGTCATTTCAGTCATGTCCAACTCTTCATGACTCCATTCGGGGTTTTCTTGGCAGAGATACTGCAGTGATTTGCCATTTTATTCTCCAGCTCATTTTATAGATGAGGAAAATGAGGTAAACAGGGTTAAGTGACTTGCCCAGATCACACAGCTAGTAAGTGTCTAAGGCCAGATTTGAACTCAGGGAGATGAGTCTTCAAAACTCCAAGCCCAACACTCTATACACTGTGCCACCTAGCTGCCCCTCTTCTGTATCTATATCTGGTGCTTTTTTGTCCATACAACCTCACTTCTCTGGGTATGTCTGAAGCTATTTCACCATCCCTTAACAAAAAACAAAATCTAAGTCTCATCCATTCTGTCTCTACAACATCTCCTACATCTGTCCTCTCACATCTCAAGAAGTCATTACTTTAGATCACACTCTTTTCACTTCTCTCCTGGACTATTACGTTAGCTTCCACCTCATGTGGGTCTTCTCTGCCTCCTGAAATTACTTTGTGTTCAAATTAGATAACCTCCAGTAGAATGAAAGCTTCTTCAGAACAAGTACTGGATTTTTTCCCCTTATTTCCCCTACATATATCACAGTGCCTTTTGCATCATACAAGGCACTTAATAAATATTTCTTGAATAGAATCAATCCTTTTCCCTTTTGCTTAGAACGCATGATGCCTATAGTTATCTTTTCTGCTATTGATTAGGAAATTCACTACCCCACAATGAGCAACACACTGGCCAAGAGGTTTCAGAATTCCCCACCAGAATGTCTCACACAGCAGGCCCCTAGGTGGCACAGTGGATAGAGCACTGGCCTTGGAGTCAGAAGGACATGAGCTCAAATCTGGCCACAGACACATAACACTTGCTAGCTGTGTGACTTTGGACAAGTCACTTAACCCCAATTGCCTCACCAAAAAAAAAAAATGTCTCACGCAAGTTTCATAAAAAAGAGAAGGGGTGTCCCTACCTAAAAGACATCTGGTCCCCAGATCAGCAGGGAAGTTGCTCCCTCTATTTCTGACTGCCCCAGATCTCTACTCTAGACTGGTGTAAAAGCCTTATCAAAGGGAGAAGAATATGCAATGTTTCTGTAAAGGAAAGACTCGCTTGTATTCTGATGTAATTCAAATGAAGCTGAACCATTGAACACCATAGGTCACTAGGCTTCAAAGCAGCCAAACCTAATCTCTACATAAGCCAGCATCAAAGAGCTAACAACATCCCAACCAAATAATCCCCAACCACCAGAGCTCCACATGGCTTCTTATGATGCTATTAAAGAAGACATAAGTTATTTCCTCAACCAGATGAATTATTGATCATCTTTAACCATAGACCCCAGAGCCAGAACCAGTGGTAGGCAAGGTGGGTAGTCAGAAAGGGTATACCACACTGGGTCATGAGACATAGTTTTCCATGGACTTTTGGTTAAAGTATGTATTTTAATGCCTTCCATGTCACATTGTGTGCTACATTCATCTTAACATCAAGTTACATGTTACCACAAAGGCTGAAAGCCTCAAGTGGATAGTAACATATGGTCATATAATTTTCACTTACAGAGTAATAATTTTCAAACCTCATGTTGCTCACAGTAAGGCTGTGAAAACAACCCCAGTGGAAGGGATACACCATGTTTGCCACTTTGTAAGAGTGAGTTGAAAGGCTAATTGTCAATATCATAGTACTGTGAAAAAAGTGCTGGATTTTGAGTCAGAAGACACGGGTTCAAATCCCAGCAGATGACCAGTGTACAAGATCAAGGATAAAAAAAATAGCATGAGAACATAGATTGCAAGTGGAAAACTGTGAAGTACTTTAAAGTTTCCCAGTCTGCTTCCAGACACAAAAACTCATCTTTCTAATATCAGAGTTTTGCTGGTGTGTTTATGAATCATGAAACATACAGTCTCAAGTATGAAAAATGTGCCTTTATATGCTGAAAGCACTATCAAAGTGCAAACTATTAGGATGTTAATGATAATAATAGCAGCACAGAGAACTCCCCTAGAATGAACAATTGCTCCTTGCATTTTAGAAGGTGAACAAATTAAGAGGCTGAGTTTTTATTTTCTTGTCTCACAGATACACGCTGTTTCCAAGAAATGGTGAACTCTCACATTTCTACAGACATCAAGACCAGTGTTTCCATGCAGCCTTGGAACTTCCAGATGAGATCAGAAGTAAGTGAAAGTCATGTGATCATTCTTAAATTTCTAATAAGGTGAAATTTAAGAAATCAACTACATAAGCATAGGATGGGAGGAACTTCACTAGACCACAATGCATGTGAAAAAGGACCTGGGGGATTTAATAGATTGTGTTGACCGGTTAATTTAGAAACCGAATGAACTATTGTAAGCTTGGGAGGAATTAATAGAAATCTAATATACAGAAGATAAGGCAGATAGATAGATAGATAGATAGATAGATAGATAGATAGATAGATAGATAGATAGATCAGACAGAATATTTGTTAAGAACTTAATGTGTGCCAAGCACTGTGCTGAGTACTGGGTATATAAAGCAAATGAATGAGTCCCTGACCTTAAGAAGCTTATATTTTAATGGGGCTAGACAGAGGCTTTATTAAGCACTTGCTATATGCCAGGTACTGTGTTGAGTGCTGGGGATACAAAGCAAGTGAGAAAGCCTCTGTCCTCCAGAAGGGAAAGAATATATGTAAGGAAGAGGATACGGTGGGATGAGTGACTATATGGAGAATCATTCAAAGTCTGCAGCACCTTCCTTTCTGTCTTCTCACTGGTGGATAATCTTTGTCCTTTAAAGGTGGATTGATTTTTATAACAAATCAAAAGCTTTTCAGAACCAAGTCCAGTGAACAAGGCAAGTGATGAAGCCACTTTTGGCCCAAAGCAGGTGTAACCAAAGTATCTGTGTGCCCTAGATAAGAATAAAAAATTGTGCCCTTCTTTCTTACTACCCACCAGAGGTTTTGCACTTTCCCCACAATGCATGGGTCATATTACAAAATAAAATAATCTGCTGTGGAAAGCAGAATTTTCTTTTGTATTAACAACATATGAAAATATCCAAAGGATCCATGATTTTGTCAGCAAGGGGAACACCTATCAACAGAGATCACAGTCTGTCAATGATTTAGGAGAAAAATCTAATGAATTACTTCAGGTGACCCACAGTCAATTAAAAAGTATCGATAAGTAAGTATTTATTAAGTGCCTGCCAAACACTGTGCTAATATCTAGGGATACAGATACAGTGAATAAAATTATCTCTACTTTTAAAGAGCTTGCATTCTAACAGAGAAGACAATAAAGACTACAAAAGTATATACAAAAGGAAAAAAAAGAATAAATATGAAGTAGAGTATGCATTAGTATGAGAAGGAAGGCACTAGCAGTGGAGGGGATCAGGAAAGGCTTCATCCACAAAGTGGTCAATGTGATCACATAACTAGTAAAGGCTGGAGGTAGGCTATGAATCCAGGTCTCCATGACTCTATCCACCATATTGCCTCAGATCAAATAGTATAGGCATTTATGCTGAACTCTCCTACCCCACCCCCACTGCCCAACACACACACACACACACACACACACACACACACACACACACACACACTCGTGTCCCTTTCTAAATTTTGCTCTTGCTTAGGGATTAATAATCAAATCAGTGCTACCATGGCTACTAGAAAGGAGCGGTGTGACAATTGAGTGCCCATTTGGAAATCCCTTCCCTGGTCCATATTTCTGTACATACTAGCATGTCCAATTGGAGTGTAAACTCCTTGAGGGCTGTGATTATCTCACTTTTGCTTGTGTATCTCCACCTCCTCCTTTTGTTATATTTAGTTACAAGAGATTGCACTCTAGGAAGGAGAATAAGGAGGGATAAATGGAAAATGTAAGTGATGAAATACAATGCTAGCAATAGTTTAAATAACTTTATGTGGATCAATGGAGCACAGAGACCATGCATCAATTCATCAACAAATATCTGAGCACTTATTTAATGCTTCAGATACCGTGCATTGGGGCAGCTAGGTGGCGCAGTGGACAGAGTGCTGGGTCTGGAGTTAGGAAGACTCATGTTCATGAGTTCAGATCTGGCCTCAGACACTTACTAGATGTGTGACCCTGAGCAAGTCTCTTAACCCATCTATAAAATGAGCTGGAAAAGGAAATGGCAAACCACTTCAGTATCTTTGCCAAGAAGAACCCAAATGGATTCAGACACAACTGAAAACAATTGAACATTATCATTGTCCACTGGGGACATAAATTCTCTTTCTCTCTCTCTCTCTCTCTCTCTCTCTCTCTCTCTCTCTCTCTCTCTCTCTCTCTCTCTCTCTCTCTCTCTCATCACATTAGTACTTTAAATACCCGCCTCTACTACTGATCATATGTGTCTCCTAATGATAAATTTTACACATCTTCCTATGTTCAAATCAATATTTATGTTAGCCTCTAGCCTATTCTTTCTCATCATGTACTTCTCTATTTCTCTGATAACCACAACCACAATTTTGATTTTTCAGAGACTGCAGGGCCCCATGGCTCACAGATACAGAGCATCACTGGTAGAATCTTGGTGTTGAACATATGAATCATTGGATTCATGTATGATCCTTATTTTCAGTTTGATTTTTATAAATTTATGTTTACACATTTTCTATGTATGGAAATGATCACCTTATCTGTTGTTTGTTTGGTTCAGAATTTTAAAAAAAAAAGGGAAAGAAAACATGGGTTATTATTTTAGAGAGCACCCTGCAGTCAATCAAAATGTTTCCCAAATGATCTTCAGCTCATTCTCATCCTCCTGTTCAATTCTGTGCCAAATTCACTGTCCATCTATAGTTTCTGTTCAAGATATAAGTATTGTTGGATCAGCTTAGTGGGCTATCCTTCCAACCATTTATCATGCAATAGATAATAAGATTTTTTTTTATCCAACATTTTTCCCTTGTGTGAATTATTAGTCTGATTTCTTTTAAGTGGCTATGGATCTCATTTAGGATGGTCCATAGTATTCCAGGGCTTGTTACAATACAGACAATGTCATGAGTGGTGTGATGGTAAATGTTTAACAACTGGATCTCCAAAACTGCATAGCACACTTTCAAGTTTAATCTGCATTATTAATGTTTTTCTATCACTTTCTTAAGTCTAGACAATCAACAAAACAATATATCAAGCCTAGATTTGTAATATTTGCCTTCAAGGGACTTACATTCTAATGTGAGGAGAAAACACACGTAGTAGAGTGGTGTCCAGGAAAGGCAGCTTTGCCCTGGGGAGTCACAAGCAAAGAGAGTTGATCCATAGGGCAAATGATAGACACACTTCCAAAAGCAGTGTAAGTATTGATTTGATTTCTTTGACCAGAGCAAAAGGAATAAAATGTGTTTGTATGGGGGGGGGGGTGAGGCATTAAATTGACTTGAAATGATTTGTCTTATATTGATCAAAGGATCTTTGTCCTGTGGCTTGTGAGTCAGGAATTCCTTTAGACACTTTAAGTTGTAGAATTATCTCTAGAATGTTTATATACAGATAGATAGATAGATAGATAGATAGATAGATAGATAGATAGATAGATAGATAGATAGATAGATAGATGGATGGATGGATAGATAGATAGATGTTTGTCTCAGTAATATCAACTCCATTTTTTTCAATTTTTATTATTTCTAGGTACTATTGGTCCTCTGAATTGTCAAGACCTTCATTACTACTCCTAAACTATTACAATAGCTTCCTAATGTTATTCTCTCCCTCCTTCCAATGTATCCTGCTTAATATTTCTTTCAGAATATTTTTTATTTAAAAAGTTTCCTGGGGCAGCTAGTTGGCACAGTAGATAGAGCTCTGGCCTTGGAGTCAGGAGGACCTGAGTTCAAATCTGACCTCAGATACTTGAAACTTACTAACTGTGTGACCCTGGGCAAATCACAACCCCAACTGCCTCACCAAAAAAAAAAAACTTAACGTTTTTCCCATTTTAAAAATTTTGAACTTAAATGCAAAAAAAAAGAGAAAAGAACATTTCCATACACATGGCAGAGCACAAAAATAAGATTCTATTTAAAACCATAAATCTCCATTTTGTACCACTTACTTTTAATATCTAGATATATTTATATTTAACATATATGTAGGTATATACATATATATACATATATATATGTATAAACATATATGTAGGTATATACATATATATACATATATATACATATATATACATATATATACATATATATACATATATATACATATATATATGTAATAAATTCTACTCATTAGCTTCAAAACTGTTCTGCTTATTGGTTCTCCCTTCTAAACCAACCCCATCAATTTAGATTTTGGCACCACTGTTCAGTATCCCATCAGATTCTTGGGTGCTAGAAAAGTAACTAATACCCCTGCCGCCATGATGTTGGCAGTAATTTAATATCATCTCAGAAGCAACTGAATAGGGAAAGAGGACCTAAAAATAAATATCACAGTGAATCAGAATGGTACTCCCACTACTCTCGGATTGTTTGATTTCTAAATTTCATGTGATATCACTATTAATAGTTATTTTACTCATTGACACATATAAAACTTTCAAATTTGCAAAGTCCTTTACATAGGCTATCTCATTTGAGACTCACAATAGCCTTCAGAGGTTGATAGTCTAGGTAGGACTATCCCCATTTTACAGATGAGGAAGTAAAGATGCTAGAGGCTAAGTGGTCTTGTAGCCACGGTCTTGCACTTGTGTAGTCTTGACACATGCACCAGTATGTATCAAAGGTAGAATTTCACTCCACATCTTCCCGACTCCAAGTCCAGAATTCTACCCACTGTACCATGACATTTCTCATAAATGAGCCAGATACTTTCAGTGCCTAAGTCTCTTTTCAATTTAACAAACATGTATTAGATGTCTTTGATGTGCCAGGCATGAGGGTTATAAAGACAAAAATAAGACAAGTTTTGCCCTAAAAAAAACCCTTACATTCTCTTCCTCTGTCATGGGAGGCAGCTTTAGACGGCTTTGAACGATGAACTGTTAGGGCCACTTGGATAACCCAGCAAGCCTGGGGCCTTACACACTTGCCTAACCTCTGTACCCTCATTATATCAAAAGGTTTGACTTACGGATCTACCATTTACCACTGCCTCTCTGATTTTTGACAAATTATTTTGTTTCTCTGGGCCTCAGTTTCTTTATCTGTAAAATGAAATTAGTAAACTAGATACCTTCTAAGATCCCTCCCAACTCTAAATCTTTGATCCCTGATTCCATAAGTGTAAACACTCCCTCCACTGATATAAATATTTCCATTGCTTCATAAATGGCTTTTATTATTTGCTGTGGTCAAAAAAAAAATTCATCATCTGGTTGCCAATTTTCTGGAGATGAACTCTTTACTTAACTAAATTGATAAAATGGTACATGAAAAGCAGACCATCTGTCACTGGAGTAATACATAAAGCTTAGCAAGAGATGCCAGCTTTATTCTGGGTTAGCTTTTGAGATACCGGGGTCACCCTATACCATAAGGTACCATTGGAGGACGGGAAGACTACCTTAGCTTGGTATGATAGACACATGGAGTTGACAGCTTGACTTTGGACTGGAGCTTTAAACAATGTGCTCCCATTAGCAACACAATCACCATCCTTCCCATTACCATTGCCACTGCCATCACCACTACATGTGTTCGTCAAACACCTACTCTGACTTTAGGATTATTTTCCAGAGGCCTAATGCCTAAATTATATATATTATGTTAATTGCATTTATCCTTCATTTTCTTAAGAATAGAAAGTTTGATCTCTTTATGCTGTTTTCCTTGATAGAATATAAGCCCGTGAAGGGCAAATGCTAACTCTGTTTTGTTTCTATACGCCCCTTACCTAGCCTGGTGCCTGGTGTGTAGTAGCACTTAATAAGTACCCATCTATTGACTGCTTGATTTCTATTCTTAACTCTGCAGTCCAGATCACTATTCATTGTTCTACATTGTGTTTTACAGGAGGAAATGCAGATTCTAGCAGATATCCGAGATCTAAATCTTAAAGGTAAATATGTATGTGGGAAATGCGGAAATGAAATATGTCTATATTGTGCCTATATTGTTCACTTGAGTTTTCATGTGTGTAAAAATCATGGCTAGCCACTACTGTGAGAGAAAGTCAGAGAGGGAGAAAGTGAGGGAAGGAGAGGCGAAAAGAGAGATAGAGGGAGAGAAGGACAGACATAGACAGAGAAGGAGAGATAGAGAGAGGAAGGGGGAAGGGTAGGGATGGGAGAGAGAGAGAGAGAGAGAGAGAGAGAGAGAGAGAGAGAGAGAGAGAGAGAGAGAGAGAGAGATGAAAAAGAGAATAAAACAAGAGAAGTCGAGAAAGAGAAAAAAGAATGGAGAAGAAAATTAAAGAAAAACAACAGAAATAGAAGGAGGAAAAGGTTGAAGGGGGAGAGTTAAAAAGGAAACATCAATCCCTCTGAACCGGATAGAAAGGTAAGGGGAAAAACGGGAAAAAGAGGGGCTCTGCCACTGTCTCCCTTGGCTCTCATAATGGATCACCACATTCCCTCTCTCCCTACCAACACCTATCTCCTGTCACACTGCTTTGTACCATGGGACATTGTTTCTGAAGGTAATGTTTTTGTTTCCGTCTCTTGCAGAAATACTAGAGTGGAGGGAGGTGTCCACTTTATCAATTACTTTGTAACAACTTTATCCAAAGTAATGTGTCTGAATAATCTCTCTAAAGCTTCTCTGCAGTCCCATAGGCCCTAGGATAGAAAGCATCTGTAACAACAGCATTTAGGCATTTGTTTATATACCAGGCACCGTACTAAGCATTGGAAACACAAAGGAAAACCAAATTGAGCCATTCTCACAAAGCTCACATTCTGATGGCAGTTGGAGGTGACAAAATGCAGTCATGTACATACAAGATATACGCAGGCTAAATTTGAGGTGAGCTCAAGAGTAGGGGCTAGCCTTGAGGGGAAGTAGGAAATGCCTGTTGCTGAAGGTAGAATCTGAGTTGTCTTAATGGAAGCCTGGGAAACAAGGTGGCAAAGATGAAGATGGAAAGCCCTTCGTGTACACGGGGAAAAGCCAGGAAAAAAGACACAGCCTCAGGAATTGAAGTGTCGTTTTCAAAGAAGAGCAAGAAGGCTTGTGTCATGGGATCATGGAGCACATAAAGGGGGGTAAAGTGTAAAAACACCACAAAGCTGGGGAGGGGCCGGGTTAGAAGAGCTTTAAAAGCCAAACAAAGGATTTTATATTTCATCCTGGTGGTAATAGGGAGCGACTGGAATTTATTGCTTGGAGGGGTAGGGTGGGTGGGGTGGGACAGGGCTACTAAATAACAAGGTCAGACTTGGCTTTAGGAAGATCATTTTGGTAGCTGGAAGATGGACTGGAGTGGGAAGGCTCTTTAGGGAGGGAGATCAACCAGAACACTACTGAAAGAATCCAGGTGTGATGTGATAGGGGTGAGGTCATATCTAAGAGACGTAAAGTAGAAGCAGCAAGACTTAGCAACACATTGGATATGAGCAGTTACTGGGAGTGAGGAAATGAGGATGATACCTAGATTGTGAGCTTTGGTGACTGGAAGAATGAATGGTGGTGCCCTTGCCAGCAACAGGAAAGTTTAGGAGAGGAAAGGTTTTGGAATGAGACATAATGAGTCCAGTCTTGGGTAGATTGAGTTTAAGAATTCTTTGGGACATCGACTTTGACATATCCAATATGCATTAGAAGATGTGAGATTGGTGGTCCGGAGGGAGATTAAGTCTGGTTAAACAGATCTGAGAATCATCTGCAGAGTCAATAATTGGATCCATGAGAGCTGATGAGATCACCAATTGAGATAACATACAGGGGAAAAAGAGAGCCTAGAACAGAGCACTGGGGGAAACCTGCAGCGGAGGGTACCTTGGAGTTCATTTATTCTAAACTCTTCATTTTGCTGAAGAGGAAACTGAAGCCCAGAGAAGTGACTTACCCAAAGTAACACAGAGAGTATATGGTAGAGTGACCCTTTAAACCCAGACCCTCTGGTTCCATATCCAGAGTATTTTCACCCATAGCACATTGCCTCCTATTCATTTTCAAAAACAAAGATTTGAAGTACATAATGCAAGTATGATGACCCTCATTTTACAAATGAATAAACTGAAGTTAAGAGAGGTCAAGTGAATTGACCAAAGTCACATATCTAGTAAGAGCTAGAGTCGGGATTCAATTTAATACTGTCCCAAAGCTACATCTCTTCTATACAGGCAATTTCTCAATTTTCAAGTAAGATCCAGGAATAGAAAGGTGATATCAAAACAACGAGGCAAGAGGGAGATGAAAATTAATCAAAATACTCCCCATTTATGGGACCATACGCAATGCCTGGAAAATGCTAAGATGATTTATACGCTCATTACAAAATGCCATATTTTTGATGCAAATATATTCTCAGATAATTTATTCATCCTCACCAAATGTCATGGGAAAAGAAAACATATTGGTGGATTTCACTAATGGCAGACTTTTACAGTGATATTTGTCATCAAGTTGAGCACTTAGGTTTATGTTAATGTCTTTTTCATGCTACTTTTTCATTGTCGTATTTTGACACCATCTAGGATGTATCAACTTTTAGAATTTCTTGCGTCTTCAGTTGTAAGCCACTGTACAAAAATCAGCTTTGTGCATATTTTATGGAATAAAAAATTCACCTTCAGAAAGTATACATTCTGGGGCATTTGCTGATCGGCTAAGATTAGTCCCTAGGACAAAAACAGACAGCTTCATTTTCAGAAAGGGATATCACTAGTGCTCAATGATCCAGGCCTGATACAATAGATGCTGACACTGATGGGAAAAACAAGGCTAAACAGTATTTCTTTTCTAGGCTTGGATGTTAACAAAAACATAAAACTAAAACCAATTTCTTTTGTGATAACAAGAACGCCTGGCACAAGAATGAATTTGCGAAAGGGGAAAAATGCAAACACAGTGATGAAGTTATGTACAGGTGACTTGGCATAGAAATACTAAGAGAGGATCTTAAGACAAAAAACAGCCATATATTTGTTTCCATAAAGAAGATTGGGATTCCAAAACCAAAGGGACCTTGGAACATGGAGTATTAAGCGTGGGAGAGATCTTAGAACATCAGAGTTAGGGGGAACCGTAGAACATAAGAGTATTTAACATGGCAGCAGTCGGAGAATGTTAAGGGACCACAGAACATAGACTATCAAGGTTATAAGGGACCTTACAACTGTTGGGGGCTGGTACCACTGGCACTTTGCCCTTGAGGACACAAAGGAGAGGGTCAAGGACCAGACTTGTGATTTCAGTGTATAGGCGGAACTCCCAAGGGAGGAAATTACTTCTATAACTGACCATCTTAGAGTTGTCCAGAATGCCCAGAGGTGTAGTGACTTGCTCAGGGCCACATGGCCTGCAAAAGATGGGGCTACTCAAATTCAGGTCCTCCTAGATTCAAGGCCATCCTCATGTCTACTATATCTCACTGTGCTTAATAAAGACTTATTGTTCAACTAATAGCTAGGGGAGTCTGGGGTAATGCTCACAAACTCATGTTAGGACCACAAATACATGCAATAGAAGAAACTTTCAAGATCATCTAATCCATTCTCTCATTTTCCAATGAAAGAACTGGAAAAAGAGAGAAAGGAAAGGACTTACCCAAGGTCATATAACTAATTAGTAGAAAAACCAGGACTAGAATCTAGAGCTTTTGACTCTCAGTCCTGTTCCCTTTCTGCTCCCCCACAGTACTTCTACATGAGAGTTTTGTTCAAAATTTCCACAAAGGAAAATGCATATCACACAGCATAAGAGCTAGCAGTTACACAGCTCTTTCTGTAGTCATATATGCTCTCTTGGAAAATGTCAGGCACTTGGCAGATACTGATCTCCTTTTATCCTCATATGCCTGGAAGTCAGGGACTATTATCATCCCCATTTTATAAATGAGGAAACTGAGGCATACAGTCCATGAGCCATTTGCCCAGGGTCACACAACAAGTAAGTATCTGAAGCTGGATTTGAAATCAGGTCTGCTTCACTCCAAGGCCACCCCAAACTGACTCAAAAGCTACTTATATGCTACTTCTGGTCTAAGTGGGTACCTTCTCCAATATTAACATGTTATTAATTCAATGAAAAAAAATACAGGCCTAGTTCTAAGCCATCTCTCTCCTCATTTAAGTGTATTAAGTACCTACTATGTAGGGCTAGACCAGGCATGGAAAGAGACACAAACTTTTCATTAGAAATAATCCCTACCTCGAGGGGCCGGAAGAGGAGTGGGAGGGGCAGAAAATTTAAAACTCAAAATCTTATGGAAGTGAATGTTGAAAGCTAAAATTAAATTAATTAATTATTTTAAAAAAAAATACTCTCTACCTTAGCTTAAGAACCTAGTAGGTAGATAAGCTAGGGTATCAGTAAAACAGGCAAAGGGCCCAGCAATCCTTTGACACTGCGACATGTACCATACAGCAAGGGGAATTTCATACACACGCGCACACACACACACACACACACACAAAGTAAAACCCAGGAATTCAAAAGGAATACAGATACCAATAACCTCATGCTATTAGGCCCTGGGACACTTAAAAATCTCAATGATCAAACTATTTTACCAGACCTCAAAAGCAAAATCTTTATGTCAGCAGATTTAAAGTCCTTGGATGGAGGGCAAGAAAGGAAAGAAAGAAACAATACCCTCTACCCTCTACCCTCTTTCCTAGTCTGTCCCAGCTTTTCCATTTTAGCTCCTGAGCTGAAATTTTCCCAACTCTAATTACTGATGCCCACATTTTAACAATTAAAAATTGACTTAATTATATTAGAATCTCTTGTATTGAAATTCATTCCTTTAGCTGTTTACTCATGGGAGTGACAGCTATCCACTTAGTGACTAATTATTGTACAAGACAAATTCAAACCAATATTATCCTTTGACCTTGACACATTGGTCTCCCGCTGGGTAATTCTGTCTTCTCATTCTGTGGGTGGCCTTTACAT